CCCCCCCAGTTTTTTGCTGGTTCCGCCGACCATACACAAGTACTGGTCCAGGTTGGACCGGTCCAGCCGGCCTAACAGTATGCAACTATGGGCATATTGAGGCTCATGGCTTTGATATGCAACAATAGGAGGAGCTCGGATGACTGGGTTCAATGATCACTAGAGCGTGAGAGGTCGGTCGAGCGTGGGAATTGGCTTGCGACTGTGAGCAGACGACCAGATCAGATGCTAGGGTAGGGTTTGGAAGTCGGATCGGTCAGCTATGGGCTGAGAGTTCGGCAGCCTATGCGTGAGGTTCGGCCGAATAAAGGGTTGCGGCTATGAGTGAGGTCAAATGGATGTGTGGGTCGAAATCTAGAGTTCAGAGGTAGAGACGACTAGACATGAAGACCAAACGAGTGAAGGGCTGAGGTTAGATCTATGTGGTTCGATTAGGTGGAAGCCGGACTGGTCGAAGAGGCGTGAGATCTGGCTCAGTCCGGCTGAGGTAGGTCAAGGGAGGAGGTGGTTGCAAAGTGTTGTGGACAGCTGGCTCATGAGGTGAGGAATTGCAATTCGGAGGTTTGTGGTCGTGAAATAAGAGAGAGCTAAAGGGAAGGTGTCGAGTTTAGGAAGAGAGCAGGGGTTGTGTGCGGCAAGAAGCAAAAAATATGACGTCCTACTTTTGATTCTTCTTAACAACGAAGCCGGCCTCGTTTCAGAGGAGTTTTACGGGTCTTGCGGGAAGTGATCGTGTTCAGCATCGAAAACAGTGATTTCATAGGATTTACAGGGATCCTTCGGCGGGATACGAGGTATGCAGGATTTTTGGTGATGATATATTTACGATAGTTTATTCTAAGGAGATGTAGAAAATATCAATTATTAATGTTTTTTACATTTAAAGCTCACAAAAAAAATACATGTTGCATAAACTTAATTGAAATGATTCTATAAGTATTATCATCAACAACGAATGATGTCTTTTATCATAGAAATTTATTGATATAATATCACAAACATATTACATGGTAGAAGTTAGAAGAGTCTTTTGGAATGGAGTTGTATTAAAGAGATTTTTTGCTTGTTTGTTTGGTCGGATAAAAAACATGACCAAGACATCTAGTCAAAATCATGATGTTGATATTGAGAGTTAAAGTGTGCATCAATGATATCCATCATTCTTTTAAGTGGTGGAAATTGTTAGCAATTGTATGTGATGACGGTAGCAAGAGTAGGTGTGGCCAAGCACCAAATTTCAAAGGGCAAGCCTGAGGAATATAAGTAGCCGAAGATCGAAGAATTGTGGTAAGGCGATAGCGTTCAGAGGATTATAGTCAAGCAATAAAGACTGAAGAATCATAGTCGGGTGATGATAGTTAAGATAATCATAATCAAGCAATGTTGATCAAAGAATCATAATCAATCGAAGACGATCAAAAGATTATAGTCAATCGATAGTGGTCGAAGGATTATAGTCAAAGGATTATGGTTGAGCAATAGTGGGTGAATATACCATATGCAAGTTACAGATGTTAAAGGAATGTAATCAAGCAACATTGGCCAGAAGGACTATAATTGGGCAATAGTAATTGTATGATCATAGTCGGGCTATAGGTCAAAAGAACATCGTTACATGACAATGATTGGAGAATCGTAGTCGGACGACAATAGTCATAGCGCAATAGTAGGGTGAGATAGAATGGAGGTTCAAACTTCGGCGAATTTAATAAGAGGATCATAGTCAGACAATGATGGTCGCAAGGACTAAGGTCAAGTGCTAGTGGTCAAAGGGATCGTAATTGAGTGATGAAGATCAAGGAACAATAGTCAGGAGATGCTAATTTGAAGACCGTCATCAAACAAAAATGGTTAAAGAATTGTAATCAAGCATCATCAGGCGGTGGCGAACGACTGTCATTAAGAAACAATTGTATAGTCGATGATGGTGGTTAGAAAGATTGGTGTTGTAAGAAAAAAGTTAGAGAATTGTATTAAAGCTACAGAGGTCTGAGGATTGTCATCAAGCAATATGTCCGAAGATCTTCGTGCTACGATGGTTTGAGAATCATAGTCCAACAATAGTGGTTAGGACCATGTACGAACAACAAAAGTCAGAGAATTGCAATTGAGTGGCAGAGATCAGAGAACAATCATTGGGTAATAGTAGTCAAAGGATTGTAATTAAACGACTCTGGTAATAATAACTGTGGCCAGCGACAATAGTGGGAGATCCATGCCTCCGAAATATAATCCAAATTGTAGCACGACTATCAGCCGATTATTGATTCTTTTGTTTTACTGGCAAAAGTCCGAAGAATGACTAGATTGCATAATTTGAAAAGGTGGATGGTTGTTCTAAATCATGCCAGGATGATCCAGGCAATGATAAATTCCACTGCAAAACTGTACTTCGGGGAATAGGACTTCACTATCCAATACGCAATTTACCAATTTATCTCAGTGATATGAGATTACCTGCTGATTATATCGTGAACAACTCTTCTTTGCGTGCAAAGCCTTCGAGTTAGCCTTCAGGCAAAAATTGAAAGGCCTGCAAACCGTTGGTTAGGAGAATGATAAAATACTATGGCCTTGACTTGGGGAGAATGAGAACTCCCAGAAAGAGAGAAAATCCCCGTGACCAAGGTATGCAATCTTTCAGAACTCTTCAAACCCTTCAAGTTCAGAAAGAAACCAGGTTTAAAAATCAAGATAATTTCAATAACAAAATGTCAATGTTTTGACTACCTCATCCACTGCTGATCAACTCATTTAGTCGCCAGCAACAAAAGACTATTCTTCCAGAAGTTTTCATATATGATGATTATGGTTATTCGAAAGCAGTGATTTTCTGAACTTTAGAATGCAGCAGTCAATAACTTTAACATAGTTATTTGGCCAAATCGCCATCCAATCAACGGAAAAAGCAATTAAATCATTCCCTATCCCATGCAGATGACCAGCGCAAAATGTTTTTAACAAATACTTCGTCTTGCATTTAAGCATACCCTTTTTATGTTTGTTTCCAACGAGAAGCTCGTTACAATCAGAAAAACAATTTCTTCAGTTCTGCGGGGAAATAAAATATTAGAAGATCCTCATAACATTTAATTCGACATGCTTGGAAATAGCAGTCCAACAATCACACAATCCGTTCATATACTAAGCATGCAAGTAAATGCAGAGAGAAGACTAAGGAATAGCAAACTTAATACTTAACAAAAAAAACTTAAGTGTAACCCAAATCCAGCATTAAATCTCCTTGCGTGTCTAACAATATCACGCCATTCATTAAAAAAAATGCTTACGAGATCTGAAATCAAATTTAGGAAAGCAAGGAGGATGCAAATGACTCCTCAGTATGGCCTGTACCTCCAATCCATTCTTGAAGACCTTCTGCTGCCACTAGCTCCGTAGCCATACTGCATAACACGTGAGAGGAAGTCATTGTTAAGAAGCAATATCAAATAGGCTTTTTTTTTTTCAAATATCTTTTCAAATCCCTACAACTATGCCCCGGACTCCAAAGCTAACTTCAAATGATAATAAAGTAATCATCATAAATTATGGATATTAGAACCGGGCAAGTTTGATGCCTTTTGGCAAAGAGATATATAACGAAACCATTAACTTGTCTACGTATATTCAGATGAGACTGTATACTCACATCATCAAAAGCTAAATTTTCGTAAAGCATGTTAGAGGAACGCATATGGCCATAGCCACCATAGGCAACAGAAGGATCAATAAAACCACCACTACCGCCAGCATCGTCAACTGGTGTTGCAGAGTCAATTGCAACCTGCAGGAAAAGCAATAATCAAACACTCGAGAGGAAATGCAAGTTAAGCTTATTCTCAAGTAGAAACTAAAAATTTTGCAGAAAAAGCTCTAGCAACTAGAAAACGTGGTAATCATAATTATTTGGTATTGATTATCATGAATAACAATAAATTCCCTCAGTCAATCGACCCTGCACAAATTGCCTATATCAAAAAGCTCATTATGTCTCAGAAGTCTCTTATTTTTATAAGCTAAACACCACATTTCAATTTTCAACCTCTGTTATGCCATCTTGGTATACAATTTGCATCACAGGTAAGTAGAATTTATGCTTCTCATGCTCATAGTAAAATCCTTATAAAAATGAAAGAGTAGAACCTCACGATGGAAAATAAATATTGGAAATTCAAGCGTGTAAGGCAAAGATAGAAAGTTCTCCTATAAGACCAGTAGATAGTAATGAAGTGGAAAGGAATATGAAGAGACTAAGATTACATGCAACAAATAAGCGCAAAAGAGACGGGTGAAAAATAAATTTTAACAACATTTCAGCACGGTACATTGAATGAATGGGAGAGCAGCTATAGTTGGGATATGGTTGGGATAAAGCAAATACAATGAGAATGATTCTTACGTCTTAATACAATCTTCTACACCTTATTTTTATCACAAAAATTAGCATTTAGAATTCATTAATAGTGATAAAACCTTAGTACCAAGAATTCACTCCAAATTACTATACCCTTTATCTTAGTTTAGTTAGCGCATAGATTGTTTGTGCAGTTACAGGAAATTTAGAATTCCTGATGCTACAATCAATCATATAACAATTTGCACATTAACCATGCATTCGCAAACTTCCACGCATGCACACACCCACCTAGGACCTAGGTTAGCCAAGGAAAGTAACATCAAATTACATATTGAGTTCAATTTAGGTTACTCCCTACAATGATTGTGGAATATAGGCCTCATCTATTAACCTAGGTTAAATCCATCTGTTTTCTTCTCTTAGATGATCCAACCATAGTTGCTGATAAAAATCTTTGGTTCAAGTTTGGTTAATTACATTCTTAAACTAACTAGATTCAGGTATAAGATGATCCGTGATGATGAACTCATGGTATTTCGAACAATGCGACCTAAACAAAAAAAATACTGTTTATCATGTTTAACCACCATCATAACTACATCCTCAAATCCATCCACTTTATCCCAATCCTCTTAGAAACTTTTGGAAATATTTGGACTGAAAGGAATAGCAAATGCTTCTATAATTCTGTTGTTAAGTTAATGAGAATGGTTTTACCCAACTTCTTAATTAAGTTGTTTTTATTTTGTTTCATCATTTGTTGTCTTTCATAATAATACATGAAAGTAAACCCATGCATAGAGAAAATAAAAATTAAAGATTAGTTATCAAAGAAAAAATTTAAAAAAATATTTTTTTTTTTCTTTCATTCATTTTTTAGATACTTTCTCACAAGGATAATACTCATTTGATCTTGAGCTGATCTAACCTTGGCTCAAGATCAGAATGAAGTCATTAGATATGATCTTTGAGCCAATCTTGGGTCAAGTTAAGTCTGTTTATAGGATAGCTCAATTTGATATCTGAGTAACCTTAATCTTGAAGCCTAATCTAATGTTATGGAAAAGAAAAACAATATTATTTTTTAACCTCTAATCTGTGTAACCTCTATCATTAACCTTTAATCTTGAATAAATTAAAAATTATTAAGTGATTTTAATGATATGAAAAAGAAAAAAAATCATAAATAATAATTGATTTAAGCTTTAATTAATAATGAAATATTTACTAATAATATTTAATTTTTGATAAATAATTAAAATAAAAATTTATTTAAAATTACTTTAATTTCATTACTAATTAGGAGAAAATTTTGTCAAAATGATTCTTTAAATAAAATAAAAAGGATGAATAAACAAAAATACATAATGATATATACTACAACAACAACAACATCAAGCCTTTGTCCCACTACGTAGGGTCGGCTACATGAATCCTTTTTCTCTATTGTGTCATGATAAAAGTCAAATTTTTATTTAAAACTGAAAAAGAAAGATCATTTCTAATGCAGTTGTTGTTGTAGTAGTAATGATATAATTATAGATTAGAAAATTTTAATGGATTAAAAAAATCAAGATCACCTCATCTTAAAATAGAGAACATCGTATCATAAACTTTAGAATATGTACATGGATAATAAGAAGAATAAATAATATACAAATTAGATTAGTATTAAATTGATTGGATGGATGTCACTTCATATATTTTCAATATCTTTACAATAAAGAGAAATATTGCCACTACCCAAAATAAATAAAAAGCGTCAAAACCTTTTCAAAAATTCATTTGAAAATAGAACTTTCATGTTGTTTTGAATTTTTTTTAGGGAATTCTTTCTCATTCTGACTTGGGGGCTGTCTGTTATTGGATTGGATTTAACTTTAGTGGGATTTAGTAAATCCCGTAAATCCGGAATTAGTAAATCTTTAGTGTTAAATCCTGAAAACTATTTGGTATGATAAATGTTAAAAATTGATAAATCCAAAAAAAACTATTAGGCAATGTAATTTAGGATTTAAGGCCATTGGTTCATTTAGAAATTAAAATTAATGTGTTTTGAATTTAATTTGGATGATTGTTTGATAATTAGAGAATTAGTAATGTAATAAATAACTTGATAATTAACACTTAAATAATTAAATTGATAATTAGTAATAATTAAGCTAACTTCTAATCATATTACTAATTTTCTAATTATATTCTTAAATTCTAATTAATTTGTTAATTATGTTTTGAAATTATAAATTATTTAATTAAAACTCATATTAATGATTTAATTAAAATTTTCAATTTAAAAAAATAGTATTAAACTAATTTCATGACAATTAGCCTACTAATTATTTAATTAAACTAAATTAGATTACTTAATTATACTATTAATTATTAAATTAATCTAATTTATTATTAAAGTTTAAATTATAGTAATAGTTTTAATTTGGATTAATTTATAATTTAGGCTTTGCCTTCGTCGTAGCTTCGATCGCATGTTGTGCGTGCTTCACACGACAGGAGCTCGCTCACTACTTCACCTCCTTTGAAGGTGTCGGCTGGTTGAGCGAGGACGACCACAAATCGGAGAGGCTAGGGTTGCGGATGAGAGCGACGCAGTTGTGTCGTCGCTGTAGATAACGATTTTTGCAGGTACTCTGTGACACAAGCGCCGCAGGAGAGAGCTCGCACGAGTGTAAATCCCATTAAATCCGCCGAACGATGGGATTTAGTAAATCCCGGATTTATGCTCAAGCTTTAGATTTAGATGACCTCCAAAAATGGTCTAGCTGGATTTACCTTAAATCCTGCTTAAATCTCAGTACCAATCCAATACCAAACAACACCTTAGTAATATGTACATAGATATGGACAGAGTTTGTCAAACGTCAAAACCACTCAATCCATCTATTTCCATTAGTGCCTCAATACACAACTACTTGCTTCCAGAAGCATTCACGAAAATAACTGTATTAGGTAATTGTAGTGAATGCCTCAAGTCATGTTACGACCTGTTTCAACAAAAATAGGTCATCTGTGACTCATTAATTCCAGTAAAATATGTATTCTACAATTGTCTAACTATTAAAGTATTTTTTATGAAATAATTTAGCGCTTTAAGTCTTTATTCCATTTCTTTCTTTGACCTGAGGTTTACCTAAGTAAAGGTTCCAAAACCAAAAACTAATGTTTACAAAAAAGTAAACAGAAACATTTTAAGAACCATAAAAAAGTAATGTGAATTCATGATGCGAACAATTCATAACAGATATGGCATTTTCAAGTAAATTTTACACGACAGTTTGATAACAAGTACCTCATGCCCAAGGATTTCATGAGTTCTTCGTGCAACACGGTCTGCCACAATATCATCAGCAAACGTTACAAAACCAAAGCCTCTATGACCAGTTTTTTTTGGATCCTGAATGGTAAGAGGCAAAACAAGAAATTTTCAAATTCCACTCCCTTGAAGTTAAATTATCAACAATAGCAGCAATAACAACAAGCCTTCATCCCTTTACGTTAGTTCGGCAGTTAAGTTATCATATTTCTAATTTCTTTACCTTCGGAACATAAGCATCCACAATACGGCCAAATTTCCCGAAGTATTGGCGCAGATCATCAGCACTTGCCTCCTGAGGAAGTCTTCCAACAAAGATCTTTTTGCCCATCCCACGAGGAATTTCATATATGCCTCCTAAACCATAATCAATTCATACAACTTGTCAAAGCAATGTGAATGCGCACTTCTGCAACTGTTTCAAGATTCACAAAGCCTGATGTGAACATAGCAAACAAAGGATGAGATTTCTGCAACTTACTTCCAAAAACACTTGGATGGTCATACAATGTCGGAGCACCTAGAACAGCATAACGAGTAGTAGCACTAATATATGCGTTATAAGCACCATATCCACCTTTTGACATTCTTATTGGACGTCTAGTATCTTCTTCCTGAATGAACAAATACCAGCCTTTCAAGTGATTGCGATTAAAACATGCAGAATGTACTTTGACTGAAGAGAAACATGAAGAAATTTAGAAGATAGAATAGAAGGTTGCCTTTGGATTAGCGCGATCAACTACAACAGAAGAACCCCCAAGCTCATGGCTTTCAACCATCAAGGTTTCTACAGAATCTGTTCAACAAAAAAGCATGCAGTAAGTTTCAAGCAACAGAAACAAAGATTAAAACTTTAAATATATGATTTTGAGTTTTTGAAAAAAGCTCCAACTGTTTTCATAAGAGGAAACTTGAGATATTTTGCTAGGAGTTAGATTGATATACATATAATAAAATATCGCTCCAGCAAAATTTCCACAAGCTAAGACCCATACCTAACAACTCCCGCCCTCTTCTGCCATCAACTCATATTGATCCTTCGAATCCCTACTCCCACCTCATCAATACATGAAATATTATAATTATTCTATAATTATTATTCAGCCTACTCAACAATCCGTGGACTATTATAATTATTTTGTAGTTATTACTCTATGTTTTGTATGTTTCCAATTAAAAAATCTTTTAATATTGTATAAATACTACACAAATATTTGAATGATATACATAAAAATTATCTCCAATTCTTTTCAAGGTATCAGAGTCCTAATCTTTTTCATTTGCATTTTCATTAGAACAGATTTCATATTTGCATCGCCACAATCCTACAACGTTCATTGATGCACTCTTCTCATTTCTTCTAATTTTCTGTAACTACAGCCTTCATCACTATGTTGCCACAAACATCCCATTTTTTTTCGGCCTTCATTACTGCATTACCAAAAATTGGTCCAGTTATTACAGCTTTCATCACAATATTCCACATTTCTTTACTTTTCTTTTGTGAACAGAACCACAATTTACAGTAACAATGTCCATATACCTATGATAACTTTGTCTAAAGATCTCTTGGAATTGATACATGCAATTTCAATCCAATAGGAATGTTGCAAACATCCATTTATCATACTAGTAGAATGGAAAGAACGGTCTAAAATGACTGCAATTTATATGCAAGTACCTAAAGGAAATAAAAAATTTGTGGCATTTATAAGGCATAAAAGGATTAAAAAAAACATGCTAAAAGCACCCAAAAAAAACATCTATGATGGGTACTAGTATTCCAATCATCTTCTCAAGCCTTCAAAGCCTTACAATTGCCCATTTTCATGTCCTAGACCATTGATTCAAGAGCTACATATCATATGACTAACTTCTCTAATGAATTTATTTCATACATTCCTTGTCCTTGCAACAATAAAATAACAATAGCGAATGAGTCGTTTACTGCTGTGGCTAGTGAAGAATATATTCTTATAAACAAATCCCTCACACTTAGAAATATCATTCATGCACCTAAATTATGTACCAACAAGTTACCCATTCAAAAGCTAAATAAATATTTCATGTGTGATGTTGCATTTTATCCCTCACATTATATCTTTTAAAAACAAGGCACAAGGAGGATGATTTGGCGTGTTAAAAAAAGGTATCATCTACCATTTAAGAAATCCAATGATCAAAAAAATATTATTTAACATTCATTATTATTTCTTCTCTCAGGAACCCTTTAATCTAATGAAGAAAAAAATCGAACTTCAACACCTATGCCTTAGCCACCCATCATTTATTGTTCTAAAATTTATGTTCCCTTCATTTTTTTAAAAAAAATCACATCATAGAATTTATGAACTCTTATCCATTTTTCTTTCATTCATAATGGCATTTGAGGAACATAATTTACAACAATATCTCGTGGGATTGGTGATTTGTGATCTTAACCGATGATTGCTCATAGATCTTTTTACTAAAATTCATAAAATGATACATCATTCTTCCAACTTTTTCAACAAGACAAAAATTAATTTATCGTTTAAACTAAAATAGCCAGCTCTGACAATATATAAAACTATTTACACCATTCGCTCACATATATCCAAGATAAATGAATAAACATGAATGGTTGAACATAAGAACAGTCACCTACTTGCTACCACAAGTGTTCTTTAAAAAAAAAAAACCAAAATCATATTGGAGGGAGATACTTTAATAGACACACACATCATAAATCAATTACTTGCAAAAATCCTTGAGTTCAAGAGTCTTAAATAAGTCCTAAATAAATTTTTTTTCTCATTTCAATCACAAATTTCCAAAATAGAAGAAAACTTAATCCCTGGGCAAATAAATGTATATCAATGGATATTCTGCCATACAAAAAGAGAAAAAATATTATCATCCTCCCACGAAAAAGGTGTGTGTTCATTATATTACTTTCAATAAAAAATAACACTATTTTGTTACTACTTACACTAACAAATGAGTTT